CTGACAGACCGCTCCTCCCTCCCTCCCTCCCTTCTCTCTTCCAGACGAGTTTGCCACACAGGAGTACAGCGCTCCCTGCGCCACAGGTAGGATGCGCCAGAACAAATGAGATGTTCCAGCACGGGCTTTTGCAGGTTGTCTCGAATGAGCGGCTTGGCAGACCTCGGCTTTCCTCAGCCGGTGTGGACCAACAGCATTTACCTTGCTGTGCCTACCGCAGTCTCTAGGCATGCCTCGGTACAGAGGTGAAAGGCAATGCTGCCACCCGATGTCCCCTGTAAGCCTGGATACAGCTTTCATTTTGGTTCACTGAGAGTAGCAATCCCGGCATTACTGCCTTGATTTGCACACTAAGTGCATGTGTCACTCCGTAGAACACTGAAAACCACACTCTTGTGTCTCTGCCCTTTTCAGGGCCACATGTGCCATGCTGCAAACACAGAAGGGTACTCAGGAATTGCCTCCCAAACATCAGTGAAATCTTGTCATTATTCACATGTCTTTGTTGGGCACCTTTCAGACTCTGCCCTTTATTTTTTGCCTTCCTTTGGGAAATCCAGGTGCTGAGAGAGAATGTGTGTTAGGATAGCTCATGTATGTCCAAGATAAATCTGAACTCACATAGCCACCAGAATACAGAGAAGATGTCCAGGGCTCTGGACACTGCTTCACTGGGATACCTGTCTCACTCTGCTCTTTTCCCACCCCCAGCTGAGGCTGAACAGGGAAACGCCTGAAGAGCACACCTTGTCTGAGCCTGGCTGGATCAGCTTGCATGTCTCTGTCCCTAGAAGATCTTGTTGAGGGGGGGGGCTACTGAAATGCTAGAGGAGGACACGTCAACACCAAAAAGGAAGTAACACTATAAATAAATTAAGTCTTGATTCTCATCAGATGACTTCAGCTTTACTTTTTGTTACTGTGTCTTGTCTCTTCTCCCAGCCATAGCTCAGACTGTGTAATGGCCTGAGATTTAAATCCAGAGCCATTGGCAAGGTGGTGTTTGGCAAATCCTCAGGAACACCAGAATGCAGACAGCTTTTGGCAGTGGGAAGGTTCATTTCCATACTTGCCAGTTGTCCAGGGGAGGAAATCCTACCTCATCCATTATGCACTGAAAATTTGGCTTCCTGCCTCTAAAAGCAGGTGTTTTCTGCAAGATAATCCTCAGACATTACCCTCTGATCACATATCACCTTTGATCCCACTGTGAAATCACTGCTGTGAGGTGGAAGGACGGTGTGAATCTGTCTAGTCTGATCTTTCACAGCAGGCCAGATAGAAGTGAAGAGCTGTGGACTTTCCCATTCTAGCAGTGAAGACATGGTCTGCTCCTAAACAGTTGAAGTGAAAGCAGAGGGGAATCAGGAACTTAACAATGTCATTAGAATTTCAACCAAAAACCACCTTATTAGCTAAACCCCTTGTGTTTTTCATGAGGACTTTATCCTCTTCCCCTCAATGGAGGCCCTGTAGGTCTCTAGGGTTTTTTGAGTAATTTTAATATAGGGTTTTTTTTTCCCCTCACAACTAGACTTACAGTGCTTCAGAATTTGGAGGGGAGGCCCTGGGTTCCCATGTGGTAGTTTGGGTTAAACTTTTTGCATGTCAGTTTTCCAAATGTTCTTGTTCTCTCTAATCTAGATCTCTCCCAGAGATGCAGAGGCAATCAGCTCTAGTTCAGTGGGTTGTATATACCCTATTTTATTTACATGGTTCTGTGTACAGAGGTGCCTTTGACCCTGTAAGCTTGAGCAAACACACCTGTAGGAGTCCTTCACGGAGCTTCTTTTACATACACAGACACAGGTTGTCAAAAATGTAAGTCACCAATGCAGCAAAGAACTCGTTTCAGTGACGCTGAAGCTCTTAGCGTTGTCATCGTCCACATGAGTGTCTCAAGACCCTCTTTCCCCTCCATAAGCTGGAATTCCTCACTGTGTGAGGAAAGTAGTTTGTTCTGGCCCCTTTTATAGCTGTGCCCTGCTATGGGGTCATGAGAGACTGACTGTACTGGAGACACAGTCCCAGTTGAGACTGTGACTTAGGGGCAAGCAGTTTCCAAAGTGCCAGGTCTGCAGACTTGTGCATACACCCACAGGGCTGCAAACAGACTCTCCTGTAGATGGAGAGCAACAGCTCCTTCATTTTCATTTATTTTCTGGAGAGTACTCTACAGGGCTATGGTGTTGGATCTTTCCTGCTCAAATGAAACAAAGTTATCATCATGATAATTTAATTTAAAAGTCTGTAAAATCACTGGAGTGTGTTCCATTCACAAAATTTGGATAATGGCTTTCTACCATGGAAAGAGTTAACACAAAGTTTTTCTGCCACCTGTTTTTAAAAAAAACACCACCTAACTGTTGCCCATGGGCAGCCACATGCTTGTCATATGGGACTCCCTGGCCAGCGCATATCTGTAAGGCAGTTTAACATCTCTCCGCTTGACTAGGCTGTAAATTGTCAAAGGCTTGTACTTGCAAGTCCTCCGCAGCATACTGTGTAAGAAACTTTAGCAAGGCTACCTTAAGGAAGTACAGGAATGTCTGAACATTGAATTTCTATGCCCATGGAGCATGCATGGCATGCCTCAGAAGCAAATCACAATGGTCTAAAATCAAAACAGTTTAATTCAGCAACAAAAAACTACGTTGCTTTGAGAACTTGGAAAAGTAATTGACTCATGGTAGGAAATTAGATGGTTTTACTATTTCTAAATCAAAACAAAATGCAATTAGTATTCGTGCTTGATTAGGAATTTTTCTCAGCTTTCACTGAAGCTAGTTCATTCCATAGACTTCTCTGAATATGAGGCGTCAAAAAGGTCTTGAGTAATCACCAAACACCACAGGAGACAAAGTGATGTAATATTAATATCTAGCAAAATAGTTGAAGAACTTTATTTGTTCTCGATAACACTGTTTGGACAGGCACACTAAAAAAAAATAAAATTGGATGGAACAACTAGCTGTGTATACTTTGCATACACAATAAGCTGTGAAACCTAACAGTAAGCATCTCATGAGAATAAACACATCAGATCCTTCTGCCATTCAAAAGTTAAAACCAGAAATTAAAGGGACAAAACGAAGAAAAGGGGAGCATACCTGGTGATATCTAAGAGGGCAGTTTCACCAAAGCAACTCTATGATTTATATAAGTGTGCCATTTAAATTAGATCTCTGTAGGTAGGTTACTGGCAAATGCCATTAGCTTCTCCTTGGGAATCTCCCAGAAGCAGCAGGCACAAGATAGGGAAGTTTCCACAAACAGGCCCAAGCTTCAGCTGGAGAACAGGCCATTATAAGTTAGCAGCTGAAGGCACAAGGCTGGCACACATCCCTCCTGCACCCCCATGCACACTCTGATCTTAGAAGGCGACAGACTGTGGATCTCCTCCCACTCTTACACAAGAAACAATCTTGGAAGGGGTGTCTGTGGGGCACATCACAGAGGTTGAATTTCATGTAATGTTAGCTGATCATCCAGGCTGCCTACCACTGGGAGACATGGACAGATACCTGCAGAGACCAATTCAATCAAGGTTGTGGTTTCTAAGCCAGGGGAGAGAAATGGTTCTTAAGAAGTACCTGCCCTTATTCATTGATTAGACAGGATCTTGGATGACAAGTTCAGAGTATGTAATGCTGAGAGGGTTACATTAGAAAGGCTGACCTCAACTTAAATCAGTCTTTTTTTTTTTTTTGTCTTACTTGTCGGCCTTGTTGCCCTGCACACAGCATGGCTGGATGGGATACTCTTCAACCTAAGAAGTTGGGGGGATTAAAGATGTGACTGGAGGCTGAGCAAGAAAAAACACAAGTGGGAATAAACTGTTCAAAAATCATTGGTGACTACAGTTAATTTATTTGTAAAGTTCACTTCCCGTTCCTTGCAGGCACTATTCATCTCTTACTCCGTAGATGGTGGTGGCGGTAGTGAGGCAGGTGGGTTCCAGCAGCTGGGAGTATTCTTCATGCATTGCCCTGGTCTACTTCCTCTGCAAGGATGGAAGAAGATGGGTACGTACAGGAGTTAGAGAGATATATGCCAGTTCCCTCTCTCAGGCCGAGACAGAGAGAGAAAGATGTGGGTTTGGGAACCCAGGTTGTGTGTGAAGCAGAGCACAGGAGAGTGAATTGCTGTTTGACCGGAGTTGAGGGCCATCCATAGCACTCAACACTCAAGTCACCTTCAAAGCTGTGTGAGGTTGGGAGAGGGCTCAGACTCTTTCTGACCCACTGGGACAGACAAACAGGCTGGGATTTGTCACCACTGGGATGGACACGGGAGCACAATGCAAACTGGCAGCAAGGATGTTCACTGCAGCAATGAGACATGCTCTTAAAGTGTATTTATTTCCCTGCAGAGAGTGGAAGGAATCTGCTGCAACCAGTACTATTCAGGGCAGGGAAGAAAGCTTTCTGCTTTGTAACAGAGATCTGGCTTTTAGTCAGTGCAGACCACCTTTGGACACCTAGACCAGTGGACACACCTCTTAACTAGCAACTTCCCATCTTCCTTTCCAAGGAAGATAAAATCTCTGCCTTTTAATGGACACGGGGAAGAGTAGCCTAAAATCTAAAGCCTACCTACTAGTCTAAGACTGGATAACCAGACCACACCAATATACCCTTTGGAAATGCTTTACTGTCCACTCAGTGTGTCTTCTGTCTTAGGACTTATGCACCTTTTTTCCATTAAGGGAGGCTGTAGGCCTCAGCAGAACACAGCTGTACCTATGGACGCAGTTCAGGTTATCAAGCAGTATGGAGTAAAAGCTTGGGAGTTCAGGCTTTCTTCCAAGACACCAGATAAGAACACAAAAGGAGATAAATTTCACCATTTACCACCATCAAGAGACAAAGGTTTTGCCTCTCCCAAGTCCAAATCACTTTTTCTCTGCTCTTAGATGCCACAGTCAGGCCCTGTGAAAAACCAGTTCCCAGGGTCTCAGTACTTCCCAGAAGCCTCCATATTCTAAACACCTGAAACCGCAATTGATGGGAAGCTAGACCTGCCAGTCTTCATACTGGAAGATTACAGATACAGATACAGATAAAGATACAGATACAGGAGAAGTATACCTGGTCAGGACCTTCCACTGAAGCTCCTAAATCACATCCCAAACACTTATCCCTTCAATAGCAAGGGCTGGGAGGGATTCCTCTGCAATGAGGCCTCCCTACTGCAGGTATGGCTCCATGCTCACAGTAGGAAGCGAGAGGCTAAGAGCAGCACCGCATTACAGCTTTAGTGAAAAGGAAGGCCAGGCTTGGGCAGGAGGTGCTGGAACATGGCATGAAATCACAGTAGGTCAGACCATGACATGCTACTTTACGGGTTATCTTTTGGAGGTCCCCGATTTGCTCCATTGCTCCAGACAGAGTGCTTTTGGGGAGGAGCGTGCCGGGTGGTTTGAAAGAGCCACGTCCTCTCAGCATGATCCACAGCTACACTAGCTGGAGTTGGGAAGGATACCCCAAATCTGAGACGGTGAGAAGGATGTAAGAAATTTGAACTCGGTAGGTCCAAGGGGCAGTAACAGAGCAATAGGGACACAACCTTCACTCAAACCAGGAGAACCTGACTATGGGAAACACTTTGAGAATTCAGGGACGGTGGATTTTGAGTGAGACAACATTGTGCCTCCCGTGCTCTCAGTTTTGTGTACAAAATGTGTGCCTGTGTGTTGGGCCAAGCTCGATTCAAATCACCCATCGAGCAGAAAGACACAAGCAGAGTCTGAAACACCAAAAATACAGTGAATGAGATGTACAGACTGTGGAGAAAGGAAGGGCTCTCAGTAGCCTACCTGTGGCGCAGGGAGCGCTGTACTCCTGTGTGGCAAACTCGTCTGGAAGAGAGAAGGGAGGGAGGGAGGGAGGAGCGGTCTGTCAGCGCCGCCGGCAGAGGGGCGGGTGCCCGGGAGATCCCCGCCGGGCGGGAGGCAGCCCCAGCGCCGGCCCT